GCTGTTTCCTACTTTTTTTTTTTTTGGTCTTTTTTTAGACAGGGTCTCCCAGTAGCCCCAGCTGGCCTGGAACTCGCTATGTAGACCAGGCTGGCCTTGAACTCAGAGATCTGCCTGCCTCTGCCTCCTGAGTGTTGGGATTAAAGGCATGTACCACCACGCCTGGCTGTTTCCTAAATTTTTAATGCTACTAACACTTACATGTTTGTACATGTGTCTTTAATCTCTATGTATCTGATTATTACTAGTTACACTCTGTTAAACTCAGTTCCTTAGTTCTTGAGTATGGATATAAAGTCATCAGGTAGATTTCACTGGTAATATTTATCGCCTCTACTATTTAACATGAAGTAAATTTTAAAAACATTTTTAATAACTACATGATTAGAAGAAGCATTTCATTACAGCTTTAACGTATTCAGTAACACACTCCAGAGCAAGAGTACATCTCTTTCACAAGTGGCTGTAAGTGTCTAGGTTCACAGTTGAATTAATACAGTTACAAAATATTGAACTCAGTATAAGCCCTGTAAGAGATAAAATTTAGTTTTTAACCTTTAAAAAAGATTTCCATTTCATTTTAGACTATATTGTTCCTTGCAAAAAGACTCACTGTTTTTGCTACTAACACTGAGATGTTGCACATGCATCTCTAATCTGTATGTATCTGGTTATTACGAGTCATAATCAGTTGTACTCGGATCCTTGGTGCCTGTGTATGTCTATAAAAGTCATTGGGTAGATTTCAGTGGTAATGTTTACCACCTCTACTAATTAACATGACGTAAATTTACATGCTTCCTCCTCAAATATAATACATTTTTAAAAAATTTGTTGATTTTGTGTGTGTATCCCCAAGAACATCCCAAACCATCTTATTCAACTATACACCCACTTCCCAGATGGCACCCTCCCATAGCCTCCCTCCCTCCACTAGAGCCCTTATACTCTGATATCCCTGCTACTGTCTGCTGTCTTGTCAGCACCCCCAGCCATTCCCCACTACTTGTCCATCTGGTGTATCTAGTCAGCCTACCTAGAGGTCTTTGTTTTAGGAAGGTCAGCTGTTCCTCATCTAGCAGCAATCATTTGTCAATATTCCTTTAGGTCTGCTGTTCTGTTTCCCAGTTCTATGCTGGGCTACTATCTGGGAGTCCCTTTGGCCACCCTGTCCAACAACTCAAAAGAAGGTATCTCCCATCTGGCATTGTTGCTTGTGTAGCCTTTAGCTATACATATGGACTCTTAGAAAATTATATTGGCCCCTTAATCTTTGGTTATACTTTCCTTTTGGGTGTTTAAGGCTATACAGTTGGCCCAGATAAACCAACTTATTTTTACTCTTAAGGTCGTTTGAGGATCTGTTCCTCAGGGGTCACATGGGCTTGGGAGGAGCCCCTGGCTCCTTTCTTTTACCAGTTCCGCCTATGTGAAGATAAGTCAAAGGTCCTGCTTGACCATGGCTGGCTTTGATTGGAAGCATGGAGGAAATGATTCCTAGTGTTGACCCTCCTCTTTGTAGACTGGACACTGGTTCAAGTCTATCTGGTGGGGTCTCCTCGGCCTCCTTGATCAAGAGGACAGGTGACCCACCACAATTAAACAGGGCATTTTGAAAGATGCTTATAGTCCCTTGGAACTAGTCGACCTAGGAGGTCAAGGAGCAAAAACTGTCCTTTATGTCCCTCTGACCAAATTATAGGCCTCAAAGTATGTCTGTTAAACATCCAAGGTTAGCTCTACCAATCTGGTACTTTTAATTACTGTGTGTCATGTAGATAAATCTTGGGCAAAGACCAACTGTTCTCAGATAAATCTTACCTAGACATATATTTCTTGATCTGGCATGTATAATTTGTCAGTAGGTTGTTGGAGTAATATGGTTCCCTCTGGTTTTAAAACTAGCTAGGCATTATTTATCTCTCTCACTGTGTCACCCTTCCATCATGGTTTCCCCAATTAAGGTGCCCCATTTTCCCCCTTTCTCCCTTGATAATACTCTTCTCCCATGGTCCTACCTCTCTTGAGCTCCTTCTTTCCCTTTATCCCTAGGTTCCATATATACCCAACCCCCCCCCAAAAAAACAATTTTTATCCCTATCTCACTTATTAAGGCCTGTTTCCTATTGTTCTCTTTCAGGTTCTTTCTTTTCCTTTACCTCACTGTTTCCTTACCCTTGTCCTGGTTCCTGCAGTTATGTCTGTTTGCATACTTATTTATCAGAGTCTGATCCTAGGATCCACATATGAGGGAGAACACGTGTTGATTTTTTTTCTGAGTCTGTGTTACTTCACTTAGTATAACAGTTTCTAGTTCCTTCCATTTACCTACAAATTTCATCTTTCTTTACTGCTGAGTAAAACTCCATCTTATAAATGAACCACATTTTCATTATCCACTCATCAGTTGAGGGACATTTAGGTTGCTTCCATCTCTTAGCTGTTGTGAAAAGAGCAGCAACAAATATGGTTGTACAAGTGTCTCTACGATAGGATGAGTCCTTTGCATATTTGCTAAG